ATGCGGCAAATCGAGGGACACTTGCGACAGCTGCGCAGCGCTGCGCTGGGCTCTGTACGGGTATACATAGAGAGGATTAGTGTGTGCATGTGCATCTGTGTATGTGTGTGGGTGTGGTATGTGGTGTCTGTGTATCTGTGCATGTGTTTCTCGGGCTTAGGGATACAGGGAAGCTACTCGTCGCACGTCAGAGCGGCATAGGCAGCTGAGAGCTGCATGGGTAGTCTACTGGGTTCCGCGTTTGGGAGGGAGATTTGATGCCAGTTTCGTTGGACCTCGAGCTCTGATCCCTTTAGTTCTACTTGGAAAGAATCATGTAATGTTGACCCAGGATTAATAAACCCGTCCCATTAGGGGGGTGCTCCCTCCAAAAGTGATGAATCCCCACTAAAAGGGGACACCCCCCTATTAATCAACCAGGGGTTTATTAATCCGGGGTTAGCATTAGCATTTATTGCAGGGAGCTCCAACCCATTCTTTTTTTGGGAAAGAATCAGTTGGATTTCATTCAACGAGCTGGCTTGCAGGGCTGGTTGCAGGAGTTACAGCGCCCCTCGGAACTTGCCTTCAGGCAGAGGTGGGAAGACTGGCACAGAGAGGCCGTGGAAAGCGAACGGAGCTGCAGTGAGTTGTTTTTTGGCAGAAGCTGAATATCCAGGCTGAACATGACATGGGTATGAGTGAAATCCAGGGACCCCCAAAAGCTGGCTTTCCTTTTGGATTCCCTTAAGACCAAACTGAAAGTAAGCCAAATTCCGCTCCGGAGAATATCTACTCTTAATTTGTGTGGTTTGCCTGCTTGGTTGCTTGGTTGCCTGCCTGCCTGCCTGCCTGCCTGCCTGCCTGCCTGCCTGCCTGCCTGCCTGCCTGCCTGCCTGCCTGCCTGCCTGCCTGCCTGCCTGCCTGCCTGCCTGCCTGCCTGCCTGCCTGCCTGCCTGCCTGCCTGCCTGCCTGCCTGCCTGCCTGCCTGCCTGCCTGCCTGCCTGCCTGCCTGCCTGCCTGCCTGCCTGCCTGCCTGCCTGCCTGCCTGCCTGCCTTGTTATGGTTTCTTGTTTTCTTGTTTGTTTGTTTGTTTGTTTGTTTGTTTGTAGGGTCCATCAGGACCCTTGTGTAGGTCCCCCAGTAGTGCCCTTTTACTCTTTTTTGGGCCACTAAAATAGACTACAGAAAACAGGGCACCCTGATTCTAACCTCTCTACTGAAGGACCTAGTTGTGATGCAATTTGTTCTCTCCAAAAGTCTCTCAACGCTTTACCAAAACCTGGGACACGTGGGACAGAGTCCATGTCTCCAGTCCGGCCAGGATAGATGCACCTTGGCAGAGACAAGACGCGAGTGTCAGAGTGGACAGCATCCACCAATGTTGGCAGGCGGAAAGTTTAGCCCAGTGCCATTGTTAGCGCACAAATTATGGCATGTCGTTTTCAAGTTGTTTTCAATGCCTCCAAAACCAGAAATACGGATTATGGATCCCCAGGTAAAGGGTTGCCATTGGCACGTTTTGCCTCGAAAGCTCGGCAACAATGTTCTGGAGGGCAAATAAGCCAACGATCGCGGCCTTGAGAGAAAACATTCCACGGTCAAAGAAACCTGCGTGTGGCACCATTCAGACAGCCGTGCATTTCTTGGCTTGAAAGAGGCCTTGGTTGACCATTCAGGGGGTGTCATGCTCCCACAGGCCATGAATTTTTCGCCATGGCTCCCAACGGAATTGAAATATGTTTATCCCCACGCCTCTTAAACATGGATTTGGGGGAAGGGAATGAATGACCTCTGGAATTCCATTGATGGTCCCATTCTACTTTTTATGGGGAAGACTGTCGACTACACAAATGGAATTGGCAGTCTGTTTCAAGAAGATTGCATAGGCACATAGCCGGCAAGAAGATTGGCGCGCGCACACGCCGGGCCAATTGCCCCTCGCTGTGCCAAGGCTGGTGGAAAGCGACGGGCAGCGACAGAACAGTGTGTCAGGCCGGGGACAGATCCGATTGGACGAACGCCTATGACTGGTTATACAATATGCCACCGTTCAATCAGCGCAGGACATGTCCATCAGTTGGTTGATAAACCGCCTTTCAACCAATAAAAGACATACGTATGTGTGACCCGCTGCTTATGTTGCAGCTATGCCTCTTAAGACGGCGTTCATGGGTGTGTGGGTGTGTGTGTGTGTGTGTTGTACGTGACGCACACACACACACACAGAACTGCAGCTTCATGTAACTTGACATCCACGAAAAACAACGCGCCACCACCATTTGTTGTTCTGTCTCTGGCTCCCTCTGTGGCTTTCTCTGGCTCTCCCTGGCTCTCTCTGGCTCTCTCTGGCTCTCTCGCTTTCTTTGTTTCTTTCAAGATACAATCATACAAGAGAGTTGTTTCTTGTTAAATGTGTGAATGCTTTGTGTTGCGATATGGTGTTAAATAGAGCGCTGGATGCCAGAATTCACCCTGTGAAGCGTGGTCTTGATGGGCTTCGTGTCGTTCAAAAGCTCTTGGGCCCGAAGTGCCGGCAGAAACTGATTGAAGTCCCAGAAGGTCACTGGGATCAGCTTCAGTCGAATTTGGACTGGTGGTTTGGGGATTTGAACCCATGGTTCTTGTTGATGGTAGAAAGAAAACCACCAGAGGGAAGCTGAGAGGCGTGTGGGCATGAGCCGTCGCAAGCGAAAGATCCAGAGGTTCCTTGGCTTTGCTTTGGAAGGACACATCGGGGGGCGTTGATTCAATCTGCAAGGTCCGGGGACTGACTGACTGTGGTTTTTGTGTTTTGTTTTGTTTGCACCATAGCACGCATATGTCGACTTTGGCTGTCGAACAGGTGCTTGTTGTTGCTTGAAGGCACATGGCTGTCCATCTGCGTGTGTTTCCTAAGTCAACACATTTCTCGCAAAGCTTGTGTTCCAATGGATGTCTCTCTCGCCCTGAAGATTGCTTCGGTAACGTTGCTTCGGTGGCTCGCACCCGGCAGGTATATTGTTTGCATCACAGCAAGGACATGCTTGTTGTTGGGAAACATATCTTCCATTTTTGCTTATTGTGGTTTAGCGGGAAATCCCCACTTAACTGTTGTGTTTTTTGCTTTCCTTCCAACGTCAACCAAGAGGAGCTCTCACTTTGGCTCAAGATGAAATCTGAAATCTCAAACCAGCCCAAGGGATGTACGGAACCCTGTGTTCGGTCCCCGGCAGTTTTTTCGGCCTCACGGAGACCACCCCCCCACGCAAAGGTTTTGACTCTGAGGTTGGCACACCGCCCGAGCACCGCCGGGAGCGAGCGGTGGATGGTACGTTTGTCGTTGGGTGGTGGGAAGTGACCAGGAATACACCCTAGGGTTCACCCCCCAAAAAACAGAATGGCCTTGGGACCCAATTCGGATGATGATTCTGATAGGGTAGACAATGGCGGTTATATTAGTTTTTTTTTTTGCGTGGGTACCCTTTTTGGGTTTGATTAACAGGGACGCGACATGAACACTCCGTTTATTGGGGTCTGCTTGTTGTAAGACATCGTAGGACAGTTTGTTTCGCCTTCAATAGAGGTTGTGCAATACACCAGTCTCTAGGCAAACTGAAGGAGGTCACTTGAATTGCAGCACGGGTTTCTCAATCAGCCGCTTGAACATGTTCAAACCGGTGCAAGATCCTCATCGCGTCTCTCAACAGGTACTTAACACAAAACGCCTCCTGCCTGCCTTGCGATCAAGCTGCCTCACTTCCGGAGCGAACCGCACGAGTTCTAAGCACCTCACCCCTTGGGAGTGTTTGATCTTACCTATCATGAAGGTTCTGTTCATAGCTTGACTGCTATTGGGGTGGATCTTTAGACTTTAAGTTTTTGGTTGAAATAATGGTGCTTTCCACAACCCCCCCAAAAAATAGAAGCATTTGGGTCGTTACAGCAACCAAGATGGCGGTACCGTATTCTCGAAGGCTTCATGACAAGTCAGCGAGCTGTGCACACAATGCCTTGTGCAGTCTCTGGTAGCGAGACAGAAATCTCAACATCTGAGCCAGTGGGCCAGCTTGGCAACGGAAACCTGGGCTGTTCAAAGGCAATCCGCAAGATCCTTACCTGGGGTTGCGCAGGGAACCGGTCCCCTTTGCAGTGGCTTTCCTATGGGGATGGATTAGGATTGGCCAACCCTCCATTTTGAACAGCCCAGGAAACCATCGTGCCTTATCTATCAATCATTCCGGGATGTGTCCGATACCCTTTTCGCCTGGTCAGAGATTAAGAACTAGGTCCCCCAGTAGTGCCCTTCTCTCCCCTTTTTTTGGGGAGGGTTCCCCTACTAAAATTGTCAAGACCGGAAAAAAAACGGGTACCAATTTATTCTAGCCTCCAAAACTGGAGGACCTAGAGAATGAGGGGTCCATGTCACCTTTTTGCAGGGATCATCCCGTCAGCTACGCAAACTCTCGCTGACCCTCTGACTGGGCGTACTTCCCGGCTTCATGATTAGGGATCTTGGCTCGCCGCCAGTGCCACGCAGTCGAACGCGCTGCACCTGCACTTAATTATCCACTATCTCCATATTTTCATTTCTTTTTCTGTGGGCATAGTATGGCGACATTGATTTGTGTCTTCTTCTTCTTCTTTTTCTGTGGGCATAGTATGGCGACTTGACTGGCTTTGCGACATTGCTCGTGATCAAGCTTTCTTTGTAGGGCTGTTTGTTTTTTCAGGTTGGGGACAAGCCATAGATAGTGATGATAGTGTTGGTACCTGTGCTATTATATTATTCTTACTATGAAGCTGATTGTGTCTTGGATGATTGCCATGTTTGTTACAATGATTACAATGATTATGATGATCATGACTATTCTGAGGAGTATGGTATTATTGTTATGTATTGCTGCTATGACGTATAATTATTGATAGTATGATCATCATTAGAATCGTTTACTACTGTGGATGGATGAACTCGTGCACCACTTTGAAACAATGAGAAACCAGTGTTTGTTTGTATTTACAGGGGAATCTACATTCCTGAGTTTCTTAGGTGGTGCAGGATTGCGTCCATCCACAGTATTGTTAGGTTTATTATTATTGTTAGTATTTGTGTTATACTTGTGTGTATTCCGGCATGATCCTGTTTGTTTGCTGTTCGCGAGGAGGCGAGATGCAGCTCCTCGGTGGCATTGGCAGAGACTCCAGAGGTCCTTGGCACTTACTGTAACCATGGTTGTTGTTGGGAACCATTTTGCATTTTTTCTTATTGTGGTTGAGTGGTTGAAATCCAACCACTTAACTGCTAAAACTTGTTTTTTTTGCTCCCCTTCCAACGTCAACCAAGTAACTCGCTGGTGTTTCTTGGTTTGGGGGGTCGGCTACAAGGAAGTGTTCCGCCCACCCATCTATTGTCCAAATGACACCTGGACCTAGGGCTTACTGGGGTTCTACTTGCATGCTACTTGAATGGGCAGTATGTTGCCGCAAGTTGTTGGGGGCCCCCATGTTGACCGGTTGCTGGAGACCATTTCAGCAGACTCAGAACCTTTTGAAGCAGGGTCGACTCGAAGCGATTCAGCACATCCCGTTCGCGAACTTGCAAGAACACGTGTGGGGGTGTCTTTTTTTGGGCCCCCCCCCCATCATTTTTGGGTCGTTTTTGCCTTTCGGTTCCCCCAAAAAAATGGCAAAAGTGCAGGGGTAGCCTTGAAAACAGGCAGATCCGGCCGACGGAAGGGAACCCACATAGAGCTTGGGTCTTTTGACACGCCCAAAGAGAGGTGAATCGAGTTCCTATGATACATTCCCTGGGAACGTGATTAGGGGCCGATGCGTATAGTACCCTCTGCCTTTTTGAGATGTGTAGTGTGCTGTATAGTTTCAATCATCGTTTCTTGGTCTGCCAAAATGTGTATGTACAAGCATTCCCATGAAGTGTAAGCACTTTCAAACTGTTCCCTTGTATGGCTTCATTCCTGAGAATCTTATTCCAGACATGGTCGGTATTAGTTGTACACAGGCCGGGAGGGTCGATCAAACTATTTCACAACATCAATGCAATGTTCCGTTGAAGGACCACCCTTGTCATACCAAACCAACATGATCGTTATTCTGCTTGAAGTAGTTGATGCAGTGCCACAAGAGGTGTTTCCTCTTGGCATCCCTTAAAAAGGCAGGTTTGCATACGGCTGGCAAGAAAAAATCCCCATGTTTGAAACTCCAGGAAATCTTGAAACAAATCTGAACGAATACTTGAAACAAATCTGAACGAAGTCGATGGCTCATTGTGTTGGCCCCTCAAAAAAGCACGCACGTCCGTTCCGAGCATACCTGTTCCAAATACCCGCTTTATTTAGGGTATTGTTGGAAAAACTGGTTTCGGGTTTCCATGGTAAATACCGATCCCTTTTTTAGTAGAGGGTCAACAAATCAAACCAACTAAACAAATGCATCGGGTATTTGGAGGTGACGGGGGTACGGGAGGGTGACTGAGCGACCCCCGCCTTCGAAGCAGTTTGTTCCCCCTCACCGGTCACCGCGCTCGTTGAGGTATTCTGGTATTCTCAGGGATGGTTTCGTCGGAACCCTATGAAGAATCCAACTGGTTGTTTCCCCAGAATTAGCTCCCCTCTTTGCTTTTTTTCTCGCTGTTTTGGTGGGTTCCCTTTGTTTTCCACATTTTCGAGGCGAAAAAAACGATATGTCGATTTTTGTTGCTGGGCTCCGATTTTTTTTTCAGCCATCCGGTGGGTGAAAAGGATTCCGACCAATTTATCCCAGCTCATTGAACTGGATGGCTCGGGCTCGACCACTCGTTCACCAGCCATCCGGTTCCTCCGGTTCCTTGGGATTTTTTTTTGGATCTTTTCGGTGAAAGGTGGTGGGGGGGTTTGATTGGTGGTTGGGGTTTGCCATGGAAAACCCCCTGCCAACAGTGAGAGTCACTGGTCGCAGAGCTGAAAACGGGCAGCCCAGTGCATGGTTGGTGTTGGGAAACATTTCTTCCATGTTTGCTTGTTGTGGTTGAGTGGTAGAAATCCAACCACTTAACTGCTAAAAAAAATAACATAAACAATGATCCCCTTCCAACGTCAACCAAGAGTGAAGCATCAACCCCAGAACCCGCCCCAGAGCCCCCCCAACAGGTAGGCTCAAAGTCCGCCGCTGAAAGTCCCACGGAGAGGCGCGCGGCGCCTCACGCACCGTTTCGGCCGGCGCCTTTTGTTTGAAGTTCTTAGGCCCCGGGGTTCGACCAAAGAACGGTTCACCCAACTTGGTGGGTTTAGTGGTTGGGTTTCCATGTAGCCCACTAAAAGTTAAACTTTTAGCGGGGGATCTGAGGGCAGCCCAGCCAATTTAGATGATGAAGCTCCTTAAAAAGGTAAATTAATGGTGGTTCTACTAATTAACCCCCTTTGTTTTAATGGTGGGGGCTTGCACATACCCCTTAATCAGGCTTGGGCAAATGAACCCAGGCCAGATGTTCATACCCCTCTCCCCCAAAGGGTATATACCCCTTATAAAGTGGGTTAGAAACCAGGGAAGCCAATGGGTATGAACAAGGGGTATCTACTTCCACCCTTGGATTAGGTGGGTGATGATCTTTTTTGCAGCGGACCGCTTTGGTGGACTACTATCTACATTGGGGATGTTATATCCATCAAGCCCTTTTTAGCCAGCGCTACACCCCCACCCGGAGCCACTGTTGCCTTTTGTGGCAGCCGGGTTCCCTCCAAACTCGGTTTGGCACACCGAAGTGAAGGTAGATCCTATTCCCATATCCACAAGTGAGGATGAAAAGACCTAACTGGGGAGGCCAACTGCTAATGGGTGTGGGTCAAGAAGAGAGACCCCAAATGGGTTGCCCTGGTGGAAACAATGCCTCAAACGTGGTTCAATTTTGACCCGTACCCGAATAGCCTCATAGTGTTCAACTTCCCCCTAAAGGCCAGAGAGGATGGAACATGCGTTTGTTTTCAGAAGTGATCGACTTTCTCAACCGGCACGGCTTCCGCAAATGCGTTTAGCTTGTGGCCAGTGGGACTCGTGCTCGCGTCTCAAAAGCCTCGGACGCCAGGAGACTGGACTCAGCACCTTGGCCTTGAGTTGCGCTGTTGCAAAGTGATTCCCAGATTGCGTGCGATCGGTGCGAAATTCGCAGGGAATGAGGGAGCGACCGGAATGACCCCTTAAACCCTCCAACTGGTGGGTTCGTTTAAGGGGATCCAAAACGGTTCATTCCATTATTCATTCCGTACCTCTCGCACCAGCAAGATGGTTGTTTTGCATGTTCTTGCCCAGGCTTGCGCTCAAGCACTTTGCAAAAGAAGATAACAACCAAGCCGCACACAAGCCAAGTCATCGGATGGTTTTGCAGCAAGCTTCCAGGTGGTCTATACAAACAGTAGTTGTATTTTTGTTTAAACAACACCTAGGCAGGATTCGAACTTTGAGTCCTTTTGCATGAGCTATATATAGCACGTGGGAGCGACGCATGATGCGATGCCAATCGAGTAAACATGTTGATTTCTGAAATATGCCAATCGTGTTTGCCGATCGCAGTGTGTTGCGAGGCTGCATGACGGGTGATGTGATGGCTTTGGGTCGCACTTAGGCGATGATTCCTAGGACTCAGCCGAAGACAAGAACGTCAACCGTTGAGAGTGATAGGCAGGGCAGTGGCCGGCAACATGTTTCTGGTCGTGTCTTCCTGTGGCAGGCAACTGGCAGCCGAGATAGCCACAGGTGTGCTGCCTGTTGCTGCAAATCATGTTGCCTGAGTTGGTAGAAAGGATTGAGCAAAAGTGGCCATCACTTCCTTTTCTGTGGGTTTGCGGGACTCGAACACTCACACGAGCGCCAGGAGTTCCAATTCAGCACCTTGGCCTTACGAGTTGAAGGTGCGTTGAGGTATGTGCAAAGAACGCATCTGTTCTCGATGTTTGCATGATATTCGAAGTGAATGTACAACCTGGAAAGCCGTACGGCCATTTTTTCAGACGGAACGCGTATTTGGATCGTTTTTCCCGTATGGTCAGTTTTTGTTGGCCGGTAGTACTTGGAGTTGTTGTGGCCCATGCGCTCAAACTTGATACGAACTCAATCAAGAAAAGGTGTTGATTTCTGAAATATGCAAATCGTGTTTGCCGATCGCAGTGTGTTGCAAGGTGACCAGGTGATGTGATGGCTTTGGGCCGCACTTAGGCGACGATTCCTAGACCTCCTTCTCAGACGAGAACGTCAACCGTTGAGAGCGATAGGCACGGGGCAGTGGCCGCGACATGTTTCTGGTTCCAGTTGCTTCATGTGGCAGGCAACTGGCAGCCGAGGTAGCCACAGGTGTGCTGCCTGTTGCCAGTGCAAGTCATGTTGCCTGAGTCGGTGCAAAGGATTGAGCAAACGGGGCCATCACTTCCTCGCGACTCGCACTTGGATCCGAGGGCGCCCTCCGGATTTCGATGAGTTCCACTTTCGTTCTCACGGGGACTAGTGGAGTTGGGGAACCCCACCCCATCTCATGGCGCCAGGCGACCTGATGGGGCACCTCGGACTTGATTCAGTGCTCTTGCGACGGCTGTCACGAGCTATTGGCATTTTCCTATCTGAGGCTGGGCATACTGGTTTGTTTTGACCCAGGTTTGCGCAAACATGTCGCAGATGAAAACCAGCGAGCCGGGCGCGCACGAGCCATCCGATGAAATTTGCAGTTGAATTCGCACCCTCCGGCAGCCTTTGGACGTTCAACAGTTCTGCATGTGTTGTTGCAGAACGATGTGTGAACTGATTCCGCTTGAGTAAAGGTTTCAGACTTCTCGCATAGTCCATGGTGTTTGCCAACCGAAGTATGTTACAAGGCTGCATGACGGGTGATGTGATGGCTTTGAGCCGCGCTCAGGTCACGAGGCCACGAACCCCCAGCACAAGAACACCGACCGTTGAGAGTGAGAGGCACGTGGGCAGTGGCCAGTAAGACCACTTCTATGGTTGCTTCATCAGCGCTCCTTAAAAGATACATTTTGCCCATTTGAAACATGTTTTTTTC